AATGATTTGTCACCCCATTCCGCAACAAAAACCAAGAGGAAAGTGCTGATAATGGTGTTAGCAGCAGCTAAAATCCCAGTGCCATTCCCTAACAACTCCGAAACTGCTAACTCAGCCTAGTTTAAAGCATAGGCATAACATGAGATTAAATGACTAACATAGAGAAAGAGCATCGATCTTCAATTTTAATTGCAGTTTACTAAAATTAAAAGATCACCTCCTTTTGTTCATCTTCTGCCTTTAGACCATCACTTGATGTGGCATCAATAAGTGTTGAAACCCCGAAATAGACCTGATATTTACTTGAATTAGCTTATTATATGTCTTATGAAAATAAGAGTTTGTAAGACTTGTGTGTTTTGGGGTCATTGTGGACAAACAGACTGCCTGAGCGTTGCGGTTCAGTTCTTGCTTTAAGACGAAAAATGAAGATCAAATGTTTACCAGAAGGCAAACTGCAGCAATATCATCAACAGGCAAATCAGTCTCACCCAACCTGCATGCAAATCGATATACTATATCAGAGCAACAATTCACATATAGGTTCTAGTAAAGATAAGGTAAAGAAAACCCATGGCTGGTAGCTCATTATTAGTACTCTTTGCAAACCAACAGGAGTTAGGTCTCAAGTTCATGTCCTAGCCTAAGCAATACATTGTTAATCTCAAAGATCTAACGGAGGAAATTAAGTTAAATATACCAAATAGGAAAACCCAATATCATTCCATGTCCTGTGGGAAAATAGAAAAAGGACCAGCACAAATGGTTCACAACCTTCTTCAGGTTTCTAATAGAAATCAAACAAGTTTTTACAAGTTCAAGCAATCATTTTTTCTTTTTAATGTTTCCACTCTATTTCAATATTTACTGCATCTAAAAGCACCAATATTCAATACATCCATTCCATCATTCACCATAAGTCAATGAATGCTAAAAGTAAAAGAAGTTTCATAGCAATACCTGAATGGAAGGATTTCATCAACATAGTGGAAAGTTCTTCCAAGAACAACAGATATGATAGTCATCACCCTGCCATGACATATGGGCTTTTCTGTAAGAAATAACAGTTCACTTCCATCTTCATTTTAACAGAAACGAGACAAATACACTACGCAATACTTGAATGATAAAATGCCCTTCAAAATATAAGCTATACATGTCTGAGGTATTGACTTCAGAAGGTATGGCTTTCAGCTCAACAATTTGTACTTGAATGACAAAGGGACTTCAGAAGGTATGGTTTTCAGCTCAACATTTTGTACTTCAGAAGGTATGGTGGAATTGAAGCAAAAAGGAATGGACTCTGTATACAAATTTCGAAGTACAAAGGTGTGAGCTTGAAATATAAAAAACTGCAATCTGAAAACACGGGTATAAGGTTTCACCACATAGTTGAAGTATGAAGATATGGATTCCAAAGGTCATAGTTAAAGGACTAAAGCCATGGATTTGGAGCAAAACGTTATGGATTTGAACCAACAATGTGTGGCCTTGAGCGTAAAAGTTTGAGCTTGAAGCTCAAAGGTGTGAAATTAATGCATAAGGATATCAATTCGAAGAGCCGAGGAAAAGGCTTTATGAACAAAAGTAAGCACTTGAATCATAAATTTTGGAGTTGAAGCACAACCACATAGTTCAATTGTTTGCTTACAGATGATTACTTAATCTGGAAAAACATCAGAGCTGTGTAAGAATTCTGGCTTCCAAGTAAAATTAATAGTTTAATGTTGTCATTTTTTAATGCATGGAAGCCTCTTTCCCAAATCAACATCAAGAAGTGCTCCGATTATCTCAACACACAGATCAATAGCTGAATCAGATCATATAGAACATAGATTCAAAAGAAATTTCACTATCACAAAGTTCAACATGCAAAGGACATCTAAATCACCATGCTTGAGTAGAAAACATACGCAAGTGCACCAAATGTTCCTGTGAAAACAATGGGAGCAGAATTCCTAGCTGCTAAAAGTGCCTGCACAGGACATAAAACACCCACATCTTGAGCTTTGTTCTATCTTTAGCAAGGTGCTTTTTATTAATATTGGCATAGAAGCACAAAACTGGAGGTTGTTTCAATCATCATGCGTCTTTTCTTTAATTTAAATTTCAATAGTAAATTGGCAAAGACACTATGAAGAACATTGGCACGGCATTTGGGATTTAAAATTAACATTGCTTGGAGGATTGGGAAGTTGCTGAAAAAGCCTTCAGGCTTAACCTCTTGCCAAGCCACAGACACACAGATGCAGATTTCAAACAAATATGTAATAGATACACAGGCATGCATACTCATTTGGGAAAACAAAGGATTCACATCATTCATTAGGTTGCAACTGGAAAACAGTAGTGACAAATTTATGTTGCATAGATAATGAAGTGTCACTGGGAAAATCTTAGTTACTTACAGCAATAAAAAATGTCTTATCCCCGAGTTCAGAAAAAAATATAAGCAAGAATGCCTGCAACCAAAAAAGTTGCATTGATGATATTAGTTTTTCTGATGAAAGGAAATATGAAAGACTCTTAATTGCAATTAAGCAGATGTGGAAATTTCAGCAAGACCAAATTTCTAGCTTCTAAGCATAACAAAATGTCATTTATAAAAGATACAGGGAGATTCTCCTAACTGAAGCAAAACCTGTGCTAATATCACCAAGGTCCCCTAAGTAAGGAATTGATTGCAATGCAATTGAGAGATCTGTTCCAGCAACTGCTGGCCGAGAGCCTTGAAGTGTCAGATATCCAAAGATCAACAAAAACTTCAGAAAACCGCCATTTGATGGTGCAGAGGTCACCGTATGATTCTCCCTTAATGACTTTTTCTTCACTAGTGATTTATCTGAAACTGTTCCGGTGGTGTTTTGGTAATTCTTGCAACCAAGGTCCCTAAGCCCCTGTTCATACCAGGGCATCCCCATGAAAATACAAAACAGGAGAAGAGGAACAACAAAAAAGTGATCTTTTACATAAAAAATGGTAAAAATTCTCATAATTTTTTTTAAAAAAACCCTCCCATTCAACTAAACCACTAAATGGCATTGCATTATGATATCAATAAACTAAATTGCATTGCATCTAAGGTGTATAATATACACGCACTAAGTTTATATACAAGGAATTGGTTTTAGAAACATTACAAGGCCATCCCGATTCTTAGAATGCTTCAATAAAACAAGTCGAAATGTCTTTTCAAATGAGTTCACGCAGCATTGTCTTGAAAACCTGCACAATAGATTTTGGTCATCGAAATTTGCAAATTCAACCACTAACTGTATAGCACATCATCTCAGAATTCAGTGTTGGTTGCAGAAACTTGAAGCTTAAATAGCGAGAGAAACATAGAAAAAAGAAGAAATTGCAAATTCAAGAAGAGTTACCTGGAGAAAATAAAACTTGGGTGGTTTCCATAGGAAAGCTTAGAAGAGTTGTGTTTCTTGGAGAAAGAATTCAAAGGTAGGAAGCAAAGGGTTTGTGGTTTAAGAGGTTTAGGACATGGGGGCAATGAATGTGCCATCAAACTGCTCTCTGAGAGCGTTAAGCTTGGCATCTCTCTCTCTGTCACTCACCCAACTGCCTTTCCGTGGACCTTTGGTTCTCTCCGTTTTTACGAGATGATGGATAAGTTATGTGTGTTGTATAGCGCCACCACCATCCGGCCTATTTTTATAATGACAATAAATTACAACTTGGTTTCTATATTTATTAGAAAGTAATGAATTAGTCCTCTAGTTTCAAAAGCCCATATTTAACCCATGTTTTATATATAGAAGAACAGCAATGGCATTTTCAGGCAATAGTTCAGTAGGGTTTTCAATTTATACAAGTTACAAATTCAACTGCAACCTTCCATCACTAAAAAAAAATCTATCTTATGGGTTCCCAACCTATCTAAATCGAGAATTTGAAGTTTTCAGTGAGAAGATTTTGAGCGTAAGATTCAATTGACAAATGGATGATACTCTGCATGGATCTAATTAACAAAATTTATGTTTTGACTAAATTAAGAATAAGTTCATTGTTTGGGGATTATATTGAGGTTTCGCCTAAAATTACAACAAAACTTGAAACCCTTGGAGAATTAATTGCGCACCACAATTTACTATTCTATAATTACTATTTTGCATTAAAAAAAAAACAATGGGCTTGATGTGAGGAGTAGAATGATATTTTCAAAAGGATCCATAGATATTAGATATTATGAGATTAATTGGGACAATTTAATCTTTTTATTTCTTAAATGTACAGTCTGATAACTATATTATCTTTAAAAATAAAATATTTCAAAAGATATGTAAATACTATATTGTCCTTAAACGCAAGCAAAAAAATATTGAACTTGCAAAAATGAGCTTTATCTTTTTTTCGGTTTTTTTTATGTTGTCGATCTTTTGTTTATTTATTGGCATTGCATTTTTTTATATTATTTGATTTATTCGATTGTATTAAATACAGTTGAATCAATAACCTTCTTTTTTTTAGCATTTTTTTAAGTTGAAAAAAATTGGGCTGGCATGCGTAGCACAGACGTAGTTAAGATTAAAAGGAAAATGGTATAAAATTAAAAGGAAGAACTAGAGAGCAAATAAAGAGAGAGAACAAAATATAATGAAAAGCCAAAAAATCTCTCTACACATCACATTAAAATAACTTTTATTTATGGGCTAAAAGATACATGAATATATTTCTAAGAGACAAATAAATAAATTAAAGGGAGATGAATATCTATTTAATAATATATTCATAATAATAAACACACTAATTATGCGATTGCATTAATAAAAAAAAACATACAAATACGTACAACCATAAAATTGCCAATCGTGCCATGGCTCAATTAACACTTCTTTTACCTTAGCTGAAAAAGGCATACCTATTACCTTAATTTGGATCTCAACCTCCATGTAAAACAAACAATAAAAGAGAAAAGCGGAACAAATACGAAAAAAATTAAAACTGCATCACACAAAGCAAAGCACAACAAGACCAAATTAAAACCATCAACAGAGTCCTTCGCTAAAAGCATTCGTATAATTGAACATCAACACGAAGCCGGAAATACCGATCATCCTCGTATGCATCGGTCATCAATGTCGCTATCCCTCGAGTCATGAAGAAATCACCGGTACCGCCAACAACAGAAAGATCTCTAGTAGTCTTCATTATATCATCCGCCCCAGCAAAGTTTATAGTACCCTTGAGCTGTGTTGAGTTGAAAACAAAAGAGAAACCAAACCAAGCAGTTAAAATTTCTTTCTTATCATACAAGTAAAGCCCTTGTGCTCGTCCGATGGGGGTGGAGCGAAGATTGCTGTCTAGAGTAATGGGGTCATCAAAAATAACCACGTCTCCAAAGCGATTTGGTATAGCCAAATTGGTCTTGTTACCCCAAGCTGGTGAACCCACTATTGCTGATGTTGCATTCTTTGCGTTCTTTCCATTGTATATAATGTCATGGAAGTAGAGCACTAGCCTTCTACATGGCTTGGGTCTTCTGCTGTTTTTGCTGCTGGCAATATTGGAGCTACAAACTAGAAGGAAGAGGAGAAGAGCTAAAATGAGTTTTGTAGCTGCCATTGTTGTAGAGTGTATCAACGTGGTAATGCTGCTTTGAGGTGATGAGATTGCTATATATGCTCTACTCACCTAATTTATTACTGACATTTCACATCAGAAAATGGAGAATGACAGGCACTCCACATTTCTTGAAAATTAAAAAATATATGTAGTTGCTGTAATCATAATGGACAAACATGTGAAGTTGTCTATTGCGAAGTTGGACATTATGATCGTCGCACTGCAAGTGGAGTAAAGAATATAACTGGTTGTCGATCGATCGTTGCCATATTTTTTGTTGTTATTATAATACAGATGAAGTATAAAGTACGTACCTCCAATAAGAGAGTTGGATTTACCCACTCAATGTAGCATTGCATAAATATGTTTAATTTGATTAATTATTCAATAGCTCCCTTCTGCCCAATCGATTCCTAGAACCAGTGTAGTCAATCAACACAGAATTCTAGCTCTGTAGTATATTGTTTCCATTGTTATTTGTATCTGTAAGTTCAGCTCGTCTCTTTGCTTAATTTTGTTTAGCAAGCTAACTATTGGCTTTTATCATATAATTATGACGACTTTCTTGTAATCCAATCAACAAGTCCAAGCTCCATTGCTATCAAATACCCATAAGTTAAAATAAAATTCGTATCCGCCCACAATCAGCACCAACAATGTTAAAATACCCATTATGTTGATGAGAGGTGGTAAAGGGTGGCCATTTGGTAAACTGCAATCTAATTTCCAAGGGAACTTGAGGGCTTCCATTACTATCAAATTCAATACCCTTTTGTTGGAGGGGTAAGCAAAATCTCAGCAGACCTGCTGAATGTGAATCCTCCACAGAAAAAAGAACAAGGAAGAAACTGGGGAGAAAGGCATTGAAGTAGAGCTCTGTTGCCGCATTCTGTCATCCTCGTACAAAGGCCACTATAATCTCTGCATTTTTTCCAAGTTTTTTATCAGATGTCCATGAAAAATACTATGCTATTCTATCCGATGAAATGACAAAGGCTGGACTCTCAATGTAAGAGATTGATGTGGGATTCACCTACCAGTTTATGAATCTCCAACCTTGACCAAACGCAACAAAATCTTTTTTTTTTTTTTTTATCATTCCGATAATCAAGAGCAACTCAAAGGTCCTTGCAAGTGCATAGTCTGTCTCTGCTGTTCCAAATATGATAGCTATCGTCACCCAATTTCACCTCAAGAAACATAACCAAAAAAAAAAAGGAAAAAGAAAGGGGGCCTAGGTAGCACATGAGCACTGAGCCAGGGTCTGTTCGACCCACTTGATAAAATAAAAATAAAAGAGGAAACCTTAAAACCAACCTAGGTTGTATGCTATAAATACACTACCATACCCTAGCATTGAAACATCAACTGAAGTACCAGAATCCTAACAACAAAAAGGGAGGGGAAAGGCTGAACTAAACATTGTCGGCATCGCCGCCATCGAGATGTTTCTTATAGCACATACCAGCCGAGAAGCATCATCCAAGCTTACCACATCCATCGCCACTTGTCTAGCATGATTTCGACACCGAAACACCACCTGTGCGTGGCAAGTATGGATTTGCTCCCTCTGTGGTCTTAGACCGGCATCGCCGCCATCGAGATGTTTCTTATAGCACATACCAGCCGAGAAGCATCATCCAAGCTTACCACATCCATCGCCACTTGTCTAGCATGATTTCGACACCGAAACACCACCTGTGCGTGGCAAGTATGGTGGAGATGCTTCAATGCACACGCCTAACACACTTCCATTTCAACAACTTTTATAAGTTCTTTGTTCCATGATGTAATGCTCCGAACTTCTTGAGTAATTTTCACTAGTTCAACGGTAATATACGTGTACAATGTAGCATTTTTTATTATTATCAAATATCCCACATAGTATTATGGGCTTGTTCACTTTTACTAAAATAATTTACACATTATCTTTTAACTTATACAAAAGTCCACTTAATATTAAAATTCATTATGCCAGAAAAATAATATCAATATCATATATGAGGTGACAATTAAAAGTACCTATAAAAAAAATCCAAGAGAGATAACATACACAATAAACATATTATTTTCCATTGATTTCAATAGTTTTTTCTCAATTTTATGAATAAATATATCAATATTAAACCTTGCATATCTTAGGGATTCTCTCCTCCACCTGCATGGACATGTGGTGTTCATGATCATTTATCATTGGAGACTTAGCATACTAGTACTTAACATGATTTGACAAATCATTTACAATAACAAGAAAAGCTATTATCATTATATAGAAAAAGAACAAGATTTTACAATAATAAAGAAGAAAAAATCATCTATTCTACTCAACTCCCATCACTTAATTTTTCTTTTAGTAGTGCTGTAATAATAGTTATTACTTGTTGTTCTT